CTTAAAGATAGGTTATTACCATGCTAACTTCTCTAAAACCAGAATTGATTTAGATTATTTTTAATGGTGGAGTCCTACAACCCTAATAAATCTTTTTATATGTTTATTTTTTTGTTTATTCGTAGTAGTTTTATTTTTCCTAAAAAAGCATTTTAACCAGTATAAATAATGTAAAATTAATTTGAATTTATTAGCCAATCAGACGAACTTCTGTATATGACATCCCTAGTTTGTAGCTTCGATCTAAATGATAATAATTACGATCACAAATCAAGCCCCCATTAAGGGAGATATTTGAGAACATCCTAAATTTATTTATTCGGTATTAGTGGTGTTGCTGTATTGAGGTAATTAATTACAACCTATTGTAGTGAAGTAGTGATTTTTTGTAGTATTGACGTAGGTCGTAATTGTGGTAGTATTGAAATACTGCGTCGTGGATCGTATATTATGCAATGAAATAAACTTCATACTTGATATGTATATACATAATTGTTTTATTACGTAAGACATTATTCAGATTGTAATAACAAAATAAACTTCATATGTACATAGGTTGATTTATTACGTAAATTTTATTTGTTGTTATAATAAAGGTTCATTATTTTTATTTTTTACATTTTCTCAACATAATTGACGAATGATATTTAGTTTCAACACATTCAAATAAAAAAACAAAAAATTCGTGAACACAACTTTGATGAAATTCGGTTATTTTATCTAGTAGGGGCAATGGGTATTATAATTCGTCTTGTTATCACTGTCTAGCTGTTTGGAACCGGAAAACCACAAGTTATGAAAGCATTATTTTCCTCCGGAAATAAAATATCAAATTGATCAATCAATATAATATATAAATAAATAGAATTTGGAATTGCTTAGTTTTTACAGCAATACATATATATATTATTGAGTTTTATTACTTTTAATACAGTAATATACAAATACATATACTCGTACGTACGAGGTAATATTACATTCTGTACTAACATAAAACGTATATGGGGACCCCCACAGCAAAAGAGGGCATTGGGACAAAATTTTGATTTTGTAATTTTATAAAAATTGTATCCCTGTTAATCTAATTCTTCAAGAAATCATTTAAAATAAAAAAATTTTTTTGCCCAATACCCCCTATTACTGTGGAGGTTCCATATTATGAAATATGGTGCAAATTGCGACCTACGGCGCATATTACGACCTACGGCACATATTACGACCTACGGCACATATTACCTACGGCAGGTATTATTAAATGCCGTGACGTATTCTGGGTTGTAATTTTTAAATACATCTGCACCATTATTCGGTATAACAAAATTGACCGATAATAAAAAACATCAAAAAGGTATTTTCGCGAAATAACGGGCATGGGCGTTATTTCGAGGTTTGGCCCGAATTAAGCTTAATTTAGGCCGAAATTTGTAATTTCACCTCTGCGCGTTATTTCGCGAAAATACGGTATATACCCTAATAGAATTTTAACTTTAATATAGTGATGTTTTAATCGTATTTTACAAAAATTACTATAAAAGTGCATATAAGATTCTTCAAAATAGTAGACTCATCATGAATTAGACCTGAGAGTGAATCATAGAGTCTTCGTTAATCAAATGCAATTTTGTGTATGCACTTTAAATTTTTTCTTTCATGATATAATCTCTCGCTATGTATTATATCACAGTTTGCTGTTTTAAATTGGTGGAATGAAATAGATCTGGTCGTGTAAACACGTCACTCTGGTTATATCGACATCTTGGTATACCAACATCTGGCTATAACGACATTTTTTTAAGATTTGGGCCTATATGTTTACAGCTGTTTTCATAAATTCAAGGACGCTTAAAAATTTGCTCATTCTCAAAATCTCTTCGATCTCGTTTTAAGAATCACCTAACTTTTCGGGAACTACAAGGCTGTCTCAAAATAAAATGTATCGAGTTAATAAAATATCTCGTTTAAATATTCGCTGTTATTAAATTCCTTAAGCACAACAATAAAAGTTTGAATTTGACTTGTTCCATTATCTATTCTGTTCCTTGTCCATGCCACATTTGCGCTATATACAATCGCAAAAACACCTTTGCCAATTACTCTAATATTTCAAGCTCGTAAGAATACAAATTAATTGGTATTTATCGTCATATAATAACGTTCTTATATCGCCATCAACATCAAGATATTTATATTTTGGTTTGATGTTTTCGTGAAATTTACTCTTTCCATTCGAATAAATGATTAGCTTCCTTCATGTCTATTAGAGTTCAAATAGCATTTCGATATCAATAACCGACTTGTGACATTCCTCCAGTATTGTTCATCTCTGCAGATATTTTGAAATATTCGAATTCCTTCTTTTTGTCCTTTTTGATTCCAATTCCATTTTGATACCAATGTCCAACAATTATTTATTCCTTCAGCATTGCCTATCTCTGTAGATTTTTTAAAATATTTGAATGCCTTCTTACTTCGATAACAATCTCCAACATTAATTACAACCTTGCCAATCTCCTGCAAACTTTTTATAATATTCGAATGCCTTCTTTTCGTCATTTTCGACTCCAATTCCTTTGTAATAGCAATTTCCAACCTTATTTATTCCATTAGCAAAGCGCATATTTGCAGAATTTTTATTATACGAATGCCTTCTTTGCGTCCGATTCCTTTATGGTAACAACATCCAACAACGCCCATCTCTGCAGATTTTTTAAAATATTTGCGCTGAAATATCATATATTATCTAAAGTATCACTAACTTTATATAATCTTTTTGATAACATATTTCAATTTCGAAGATTCCTTTGACCCTAATTAAGCCACTCTTTGAAGAAACGAAACACATTACGTTCGTCTTTGACTACTCCAACTCTGTAACGATAGAATATATCCAACCATATATGCTCCTTCGGTGAGATTCATCGTGTGTAAGATGTTTATTAATGGATTCGGGTTTTAATGATGGTTGTTAAGAAAAGTGTGATCATTATACTGTATTTATTAAGAACGGTCGGATTATATATATTATGTACTGTATTCTTTTTGAACCCGTAACTTTATATCTTCCTCCAATTTTATTATAAATAAAAAGGATCATACATATTTATTTATAAAATCTTATTATTATAAATGGAGTTAACGAGATTATGATATAGAATTATTCAATGTTGGCATGGACCCGGTTAATGGTCAAGCTTGACCTGACCAATTTGACAAAGGGTTTAAATTTGGTCAAAAAATATTTATATATATCGATATAGCGTATTATATATTATTATATTAGGGGATAGCTTGTATTTTTTTATGCTGGCTTTAAATGTATGGTAGCAAAAATACTATTCCGGAAAATTCAATAGTATAGTGTTCCAAACTAATTTAGCCAGCTTCTTAGCTAGCTGATACTTCACTGTATCAGCCGGTTATGGTACGACCTCTCGCCATTTTCCCGAAAGGACATAATTAGTTGGCATTGGTTATAATGAAGACTGATTTAGTCAGTATGTTCTTTCGGGAAATAGTACTATAACCATAAGAAATTTACATACGTATATACGTAGCACAATAATTAATACTTTACGCATAACAATAATTTGTTTATCAGCTGCACTTTGCCAAATTTGTTAATGATCTTAAAATAATTTACGATCTAATGTAACCTTAAATCCATAATCTTTTGTTTTTCAGGAATTTTAATACAAAATCTTTCTAAATATTTTTTTGGTTAAAATAACAAAGAGGAGTGAGGACATGACGATAAAGAAGCGTAAGATTTCCAAATAAACTATTAAGATCTGGAGATAAATTTCCGTGCCATTAAAAGAAAAATATATATAAAAAGCAACAGATTTTGCCTGCTTCGTTTTTAAATACCGTAAATTCTCAAAATAGCGGACATGGACGTTATTTTGAGTTTTGGCCCGAATTAAGCTTAATTTAGGCTAAATTTTGTAATTTTATCTCTGGACGTTATTTCGAGAATTTACGGTATATATAAAGTATATATAACCTATTATATAAACAAAAATTTTCAAAATTTGTACATTTTTTCCCTTTTTTCGAAAATTTTTTTACAGTAACATCAAAAGCAATACCAAAATTAATCTTTACAGAGATAAGAATACATTCTACAGTAAATCCGAGTTTGCAACCAAAAGAAAAAAAAAACAAACTCATTTCTCATTATTACGAAAACGAGATCTAGAAAAGGGTATCAATTTTATGTGGCCGAGAATTCTAGTTTTCCCTCATATTTTCGCTATCAATGTAAAAATGTTAAAAGGCAGTAGTAATTAATATTTTGCATTTTTTATATGTGAGTTTTGCAGAGGGAAGTTAAAAGTGAATATTAAATTTTCGCTGTGGCGAACTTAGACCTTGAGAAATACGATATTACGTATTAGTATTGATATCGGTGGTTTGGTTTTTTTTTTTCATCTCCCACCAGGAGTCTAAACTTTAGACTTTTGGTGGAGATGAAAAAACTATCGATTTACCAATATCGATACGTAATATAAATTTCTCAGGGCCTAAGTTCGCCACAGTAAAACTTAATCTTCACTTCCAGCTTTTCCCTCTGCAGCACATATATATTAATAGATCATTGTAAATGCTTACTCATTATCTTTTGGTAATCGACCGTCTTCATAACCTTGCTCTAATATATACATTAAATTATTGTAATGATAATCTAGCAATTGTAAGTGGTAAATCAATTGGCTAGACATGACATCGTTATAGTAATCCCCTGGTAATAATAAATGACTGTCTTCATAAATTTGCTCTACTACAGTGTTACAAATAAGTATTATATGGAGATATTAATAAATATACACATACAAGAATGAATATATATATATATGACTAGCAAGTAAATAATTAATACCAGAAACAAAGTTGATGATCTCATCAACCTGATCTGAAGGTACATTTTCAAGTACACACGTCTGTACTGTATATAAGTATAATTCAAAAAAAAAAATAATAATAAATAAATAATAAAAAAATCTAGAGAATAGCTTTATAATCACACATACACATAGTTGGCATGGTTGGTAGTAATTCTGAAGCATTTTCCAATACTGGGTCAGGTACTTGTTCTGCGTATGGTGAGTCTGTTTTGCTTGTGCTCGTTTCTAAAGAAATGGACGAAGTTGCCTCTACATTCGAGGATTGAGGGAATGAATCCACTTGTTGTTTAGGTGCTTCTTTTAGATGTTTGTTCTTAACCCTCGATTTTCTTTTCTTAACTTTAAATTTGTTCTTAAAACGTTTCATTTCTTTTTGAAGCTTAATCCTTTGCTCATTCTGATGTTTCCTAGATCCAGGTGCTTCATAATGTTTAAATTGATATGTTTTATTATTAGACGTCGTGCATAGGTCTTTACTAGCTTCTGTTTCATCATTTTTATTATTGGACATTGCGCATAGATCTTTACTAGCTTCTGTTTTTTTAGCCATGATTACAATAAATAGACGAGTATAATTTTTTTTTTTAAAATATGAGATAAAGAACTCGTTAAGTACTTGTTCTTATTTGAGTATATCCGATTTCAGAAATTTCTAATTTAGTAATATACTTTTCAAGATATTTGTTTGTGCATTCATTCTCTAAAGATAATAAATTTAAATTGTAACAACAAAAGTTTAAATTCTATAGGGGCACATTAAATTTTCTATACCCGATCCATAATAAGATTGCGTCATGACTATATTTGTCATGTCTAAAATTCAGACTATACGCAGAAATAAATTATTTCGTTCACGGATTTGTCTCGAATCAATTTATTTTACTTAAAATAAGTAATTTCTAATTTGGGAATTTGCCGAAAAATTCAATAAAGTTGATGGGTGGGCTGAAAGTTATTGTTATAACATTGTAGGTATACTACTAATACGTTATTGTTATAAACATTATAGATATACTACTAATACGTTATTGTCATAAGCATTGTAGGTATACTACTAATACGTTATTTTTAAAATAAATATGCTATAGAATAAACCGATAATATTCAAATATTGCCGAAACGTTGTTACCATCTAGGTTGGGAGAGCGACAGGCATATATGCACAATTTAGACCTGATGGTTAACGGGTGAAAAATATATACAAAAAGCATATGGATGTTATTAATGAAGGGCTTCGAGACATGCCATTGTCTTCCTCTTTATTAAGGCATTCTTAAATACATGATTATGGATAATCATTTAGGCATTTACATTTATATTAACAGATCTTGAATGAATGCGATTTCATACTATTATAAATCTACGTCATAACGTGATAAACAATTTTAATTTTTGATCAGTCAACATATTCGGAGAGATCAACCAAAGCTGGATAATTTAAAATCAAGATATTCGGCTTTAGATGACTTTAAATTCATAAATTATGCAAAAGAATCATCAATTTCGAGTGGTTACTTGTCGGTTAGGCGGTATTAATGAATACAACTCAAAAGTATCAATAGTAAAATTATCATAACCACTTTTACTTAGTGAATATAATTTATGGATTCATCCATGTTTTGTGGTTATAGGATAAATTTATTTTCTAACACGAAATTTTTGGAGCGTAATTGCTCAAAATCGATATATCACGTGCTCATGCGCTATAGGCAATTCTAAGGAAATTAGTCATTTAAACATTCTGAATCTTTTTGTATAAAGAACTACTCGAAATTACTTAATATCGAGAATAGAGTCAATTGATGTACTGTGCAAATATGTAAATAATATTACTCAGTACTTAACGGTCAGATCCGAAAAAAACTGAAAAAAAAACTGAAAAACTGTCACGAGTGACGATGATTGACGACGATTGATACCTTTTAGATTACTCAGAGATTTCCTTAAGAAAATCAGATCAACAAATCATTTTGCAAATCGCAAACAATCTATACGTAGTGATAGTCTATAGAGTAAATAAAAATAGCCCTATAGCAATAAAAGTCTATATAACGTACGTACGTACCACATGTTGAATCAATGTATAACGGGTACATATCGGGAGACAAATCTCCCGATATGTACCTGTTATTCTACCGTAGATCCGCCAAATAACTGTAGCATATCAGTAGTATAATGGTAGTATATAGATTAGATATCAGGGGTAGATTGATAACAGTAACATAACGATAACATACCGGGATATTTCAGTATCTTACTCTTAGTCCAAATAGTGTTAAGAGTAAGATACCAGGATGTCCCAGTATGTTACTATTATGTTACCATTATCGATCTACATCCTGATATCTAACATATATGCTACTATTATACTACTGTTATGCTACAGTTATTTGGCGGATCTATGGTAGAATAATGGGTACATATCGGGAGATTTGTCTCTCAATATGTACCTGTTATTCATTTATTTAACCTGTAACGTCTTGCTATATTACATTTACAACATATTGCCACATTATCTTAGAATTACATATTCGATTCAATTTACTTTGAATTTCATTATGATCTCTGTATTGCTTAACCTTTCACTCTCTTAATTAAATCAACTACATTATTTACACCACAATTAAAGTGATCAATCTGATCCCAATTAAATTGATTAATCTGATTTCAATTAAATTGCTTATTGCAGATCAAATGTACAAGCTGCTATAATGATTGATTAGGTTCTAAATAAATATAAGTCTTTAGACATCAGATTTAAGTATATACCTATAAAATCAAATATGGACTAGTAATTTTCTCATCTGCAATAGTAATACTATATATCCGAATTTTTTATGGTGCATTATCTTGCATCGTAGCCCTGATACATACTACATGCTCATACATCGTATAATTAAAATATTACAATAAAAGGCAGTTAAAAATATCATATATAAAGAAAAAAAGATATTGCGATAATATCTAAAAAAAAATAATAATAATTACCATAGCAGTATCGAACCTTATTAAAAAGCGTAATATGCAAAATAAATTAGCCAAATATAGATTAAGTATTGCAAAAAGGAAAATAATAATTACTGTAGCAATATTAAGCCTTATTAAAAAGTATTATATGCAAAGTAAATTGGCCAAAATATGATAATAAGGAAAAGGTATATTGCAGTCAGTAATATTTTGAATAGAGATAGATTATCATAGCAGTAGTAAAGTCTTCTTGAAAGGAAATTGTACGATTCATACAGGTATTATAATAATAACACCATTGTTATAGCCAAACATCATACGATTAATTTTTATCAGAAGAAGATCTAAATTTGATCTTTTTAAATAAAAATAAAGTATATAAGAAACTCATCTAACCTTTAATAAAGATTCAATTTCATCTTCAAAACTCTGAATTCAGTTTATAAAGTTATACCATATACGTTTCTATTTAAAATCTAAATTATTAATCTTATTTTATAAATGATTGCTTAAAAAAAAAAAGAATAGATAACTGTAGCAAATATTCGTCTGATATTGATTATATTTCTGATAATAATATCCAAGACAATATTAAATCTTCTACTAGTACATCTCGAAGGAAAGCTGTGGAAAACCCTGTAGCAGAACCTAATGCAAAGAAGATTCATGTGAATTTTTCTAAGCCAAATAAGGCTAAAACTACTAAAAAGGTATACATTTGGAAATATTTTGAAGAAGATAGTGACAAAGATATTTGCAAAATAGTTGTGTCTAGAAATAACCATGAGGTTGAATGTAATAAAAATTATAAGCATGATGGAGGAACTGGAAATATGAAAACACACCTACGAACAATATATGAGATTTTGGGACCTGATGAAGTAACATCGAGTTCAGATCAATTAAACATAAATAAAATGATTAAAAAAGTAGTTCCATACAAAGAGTCTAAACAATCTGAGTTAAAGCGAATCACAACTGAATGGATCATAACAGACTCTTTAGCATTTAATGTTGTAAATAGAAAAGGATACTTAAAAATGATGAAATGATTTAATCTTGTGTTTAACCCACCAAATTACAAATGCATTAGAAAAAACATTGATATTGCTTATCAAAAAGGTATCATAGAGCTTAAGAA